CCATCGGTGATCGGTCCTGTGGGAACAATGCTCCGTCCTCTCGAGGACGCGTGGTCAATGGTCTAACCGCTAAGGCATGCAAAACATAAGAGTACGCCTCCCCCCCCCCCTCCCCCCTGGCGCTTTGGGTCCAGAAAGGGACTGAATGTTGCCAATGGCATGAAGAACGGCAGAATACACCTTCTCGTGTACGCGCAGAAGCAACAGAACGAATAGTTTCGATGCCTAGCGGACGAAGCTCGCTATAGTCTGTCATGAAAGCGCCATGGTTATGGTTCCTAGCTACGCTTCGATTGAAAACAAAAAACATCACTGTACGTGCGACGACCTCTCCTCTCTTTTCAGGGCCCAACAGGGGCAACAGCAGAGTTGCTCCTCCTCAAAAACGATGGAACACAATCAACAAAAGAACGAACTAATGCAAGAACTGCACATCAATCTACTCACATACCCACCCCACAGTACCGCCAGCCCACCAGACACAAACAAAGTCCTCGTCGTCAACACCAACATATCACATAAACTCGCACCTTCTGGCCGAAGCCAACGCCGGGCGTTCCCGTTTTCGGCGACACCAGGTCGGGTGGGAAGGCCGCCCCTTTTCTGGCGACCGGTTTGTACTCCTCCTCCTCCTCCTCCTCCTCCTCCTCCGCCTCTTCCTCCTCCTCCCCTTCCTCTTCCTCCTCCTCCTCCTTGTCGGCGGCGGCGGCGGGTGATGGTAACGCAACAACCCTGGTGACCGAAGGAAAACAACAGACCAAGAACACGAAATGCTGAACGATTGAGCGCTGATTTGATGATTATCAAGTGATTGAGAAAAAAAAAAAAACGCTCGCCCCTCAACTCCAGGCCCGCCCATCACGCACACCACCATACCCTGGCCTCTACCCCTACCCCCCGACGAGTAGAAAAAAGTATCCGCCGGTCCCCCTCCGATAGCTAGATAGTCTAGGAGGCAAGCGATGGCGCTAAAATAGACAAACCAGCCAGGCGTTCGAAAGGAGTTTCAGCAGCAGGATGGGTGCCGGCAAGACACGGTGGTCTCTCCATCTCTGAGGAGCTACGCATCGATTCATTTGTCTATGCACAGTAGTCTTACGCATCAACCGACCCCCTCCCTGTCATCGACGCCCCACAAACATGGGGGCTACAGTAGTGATGGAACCAGTCCAACGGCAACACATCCACCACCACCACCGAGAAACAACACAACTGCCACGACACCAACACGATTACCACACATCACCAAGACCAACAGGGGTATTCACAACCACCATCAACCGCAGCAAGGGATCACCGACACCAACACCAAGAGGAACGACTACCGCACATCACCACCATAACGACAGGGATAACCAACAACAACACTAACAACAACAACAAGCGATCGTCACCAACACCATCACCGGCCAGCAGGGATCATTGCCACCACCTACCTTCGCGTCGCCTCTTTCTTCCTCCTCTTCCTGGACGAAAAGAGCCTCCTCCCCTTCTCCTCCGAGTCCAGGAACATCACCAGCTCCTCCAGGCCCCACGCCGCGGGCACGCTGCCCACCACCGCCGCCGCGTACGCCTGCAGGCCGGCCCTCGCCCTCTCCAGCGTCGCCGGCTCCAGGGCCATCCCCCCGCCGCCGGTAGGGGGGCGGGGTAACCGCGGCAGCACCAGGGCCGGGAACGTCGCCTGGAGGCACGAGTGCAGGCTCTGGAAGTCCTTGTACCTACGGCACACTGACCACACCTGCGTAGCAGTATATTAGTGGCCGTGAGTTTACGATAGAAGTAGGATGGGGTACTGGCGCTGAGGTCGTGTGTTTGAGCGTGTTCGTAATACGTGCGATATGGGATCATGACAAGTTTTTGTTGTGGGTTGCATGGACGAAATCCAAATCGTGCTTTTTTTTGCACTGTTTGTCACTAACCGGCGGCCGCCCCCCGGTGTGATCATCGTCTGACTGGCTCCACTTGACGGGACGGGATGGGACGGGGGGGTGAAAGGAAGCGGTTGCATCAAGCAAGGAAAGTTCTGGGGTTTACCAGTGCACGGCGCGCATGTACAGAGCACACGTTGGGTGCACGACCTGCACTCGTTCCATAAGCGGTACTTCCGAACATGATCCTGAACGCTAACTGCACGCCACGCGCGACACCCCACACCTGACGGCTTCCTGCCGAGACGCAAAACACATCGAAAAGAACAGGCGCGGTCAAAGACGTAATTCATCCACCAACCCAAGGCTGCTCGTACCTGGCCTGGTCTCAGCGTGCGTATCTCCATGTGGAACTTGGTGTCCTCTAGCGTTCTCCCAGACGCCTTCACCACGCGCAGCTTAACACCCTCCGGGCGCAACACGCCTGGCGTGTGCATCGTCTGTTTAGTTTGTTTCGAGGGGTGGGGGGCGAGGGTTAGAGAGGTGACAGGTGTGAGGAGGGTCAGGTACAGGATTTATGTTGAACACTGGCTCTGTAGAGATAGGATAGCTGTCGCTACAACGAGCGAAAGCTGATAGATGTGGCTGTCGTCAGATGTGTGCGTCCACGGGCGGAAACAAAAGGCAAACACCACACACATATCAACTACCTGGTGTGCTGTTGTGAGAGCTGTGGTAACGGAAGGCCTGAAGACGCCAAGCTTCACCGACCGGTTACCCCCCCCCCCCTCCACATCACCGCCCCCCCCGGTGTTTGCCATCGGGATTGGGTTTTCGTCGCTTGGCAACGACGTTGTAAAACAAGCCAATTCACTTTATGAACTCGGCAACCAGGTTACCGTTTTTTTTTTTTACCTCTGGTTTCTTTTTGGCGGTAACCATAATGGTGGTCGAGTGGATCATGTGGTGCGGGGTGGAGAACCCTCACTCCGCGCAAGGGGGATGATCGCACCACGTTGTGTTAAAATGGTCAAGCACCCTCCAGGCAGTTGCACAGTGCTTACAGCTGTCTCTGGAAGTCAAAGCACCAGAAAATAAATTAAGTCATACGCAGCTGTCATCCGTACGCAAGGAAGTAAGCACAAAATGCCGAACACCCTTAGCAGGATGCACCGCACCCTTGATGCGACTCGCCGAGTATCTCACGGCGCTTCGCGCTTGGTGATGTGAGAGCCTGGTCCGGTGAGAACCAGGCGTGCTCCGTCCGTAGGGATGCGAGGTCAGTGGTCCAACGACTACGGCATGCACGACTATGAGTACACCCCCCCCGTCCATATCCCGCTTTCGTGCTCATACATACCCCCCCCCATAACAGTAGGGCGGAACCCCCCGTTCCCTCTTTTTCTTGTTCGGTGTTTTTCCAACTGCCAACGAAGCAGCAGGGCACAAGTCAGTTCTCGTCACCTAGCGCACCAATCGTCATGGCACCACTTCGAGCGTGTGCTCCACTGCGATATCTCGGGGCGTGACAGTTGTGTGAGGCATGGGTGCTGTGTGTGGGAAGATGTTCGTGGCGGCATGGAATCCAAATCGTTTTTTTGGCCCGGGCAATCGGGCCGCATCGCCAGGCGAAAAAGCCAACCGGATTTCACATCGCCACGATGCTCTCGCCACATACAGCACCCATGCCCAAAACAACTGATGCGCCCAGAGACACCGCAATGGAGCACACGCTCGAAGTGGTGCAATTGCGATTGGCGTCCTAGGTTTCGAGAACTAATGTGATGCTGTGCTGACATTGCTGGCAGTTGCACGCAGCGGTAAACAAAAACATGCTCAACAGAGCAATACACCACAGAGAGTCTAGCGGCATTGAGCCCACATGCTGTCGCCCGCTGTGCGTGTGTGTCGCCTGTTATGCGTATGCTGTCTGCTNTGTGGCGGTAAAAAAAAACATGCGCGACGGAGCAATACATAGCCTCATCACACCACAGAGAGTCCAGCGGCATCGAGCCCAGATGCTGTCGCCCGCTGTGCGTGTGTGTCGCCTGTAAAGCGTGCGCTGTCTGCTGTGCGTGTGTTGTCTGCTGTGTGGTGTCGCCCGCAGCTCGTGTGTTGTCTGCTGCAATTGGCTGACAGTGTGCTCCGAACAAAACAAAGTGCATCTGCTGACCCCTGCAGTCTAAAATCAAGTCATGCACTCTCAAACCTTGATTAAGCGAACAAACTGTACAAACTTTTTGTTCTGGATGGAGCCTATATTGCGCTGTCGCCTCAGGCAAGATTAGAAATCTTGCTTCGCTCGAATAATTAGGGATGTTGACAGGTCACGGCCACGTGGTACGCATGGTGTCGTAGCCGCGATCGATTCCCTTTCCGACCGCCGCCTTTATAGCCTGCCGTTATGTCTTCCATTCACCCTCTGCTCTATTCTCTCGCATACGTCCGTGTGAATACAAAGAGGTACATATTGCATACACATACAAAGGGTACCCTCACTCAATACTCAACACGCCCCTCCATATCTTCCAACACAAAACCCAGAAGCGGCACAGCAAAGACCGCCGTACGCTTGCACACACCACCACTCCACTCACCACGACCTCGCGCTCGTCCCTCCGCAACACCGCCCTCGCGCGCTGAGCGCACTCGTCCTCGGGCGGCGGCTTGAGACCTTGACGGCCGCCACCGCCGCCGCCGCTCGATGGGGCTCTGACCTTGACGTTGCCATACCGAGAATGGGTGCCGTCTGTGGACCTGTTCCGTAGTCGACTGAACACGTTGCTGCCGATTTTTCCTTCTCCAACGGGGCCGATGCTGCTGCCACGAGCAGCCTAATGGTTGTTTGATATGCAGCAGCGCGGGTGGGGTGCGCGAGGGAAGATAAGTGGAAGTGGATCACGTCTTCTTTGGAGCGTGGGTAGATCTACAAAATCTCCGAAAACTGTGTCGGTTACGATCGACGCAAGCGCGCCTGTCGTTGCGATGAAAAACTTTTGTTGTTTCTCGCGTTCCCGACACCTCCGCCGCCAGGACAAGCAACAGGGGTAGGGATAGAGATAGGGATAGGACTAGTGCTAGCTCAACCAGAACGTACGCCATCGCATGCGAGCGACAATAATGGATAGGATGAATCGACCTAAAAACATTCTCTCCAGAACAACGTGCTAGGGGGAAGGCAGGAGTTACAAAGACTACTGCCGGTCCCCGATAACATCCCCGTATCCACGCGACACGCCATGTGCTTCCACCGCAAACTCCTTCCTCCAATAATTCCGACGGATTGTGAAGCTTGAACTCCGCGCCATGTCACAAGAAAAAACCACACCGCGATTGTTCATAACGATGAACGTCGAATGGGGTCTTTTGAAAGTGAAGGTTCTACAAGCTACACACGTGCGGTTCCGGCTGTACCGCATTCCACCCCCCCCTCACAGCCAAAAGAAAAAGAAAAAAAATCGTGGCCCGAAGACAAGCACAAGGAGGAAGGACTCGACCGATGAGCGATCACAACAGCAAACCCACTTTTACGACGACGGCGAACGGCGACGTCGGTATGCATCAAAGGCAGCAAACGAAAAACCGCACACTCACATGATTATTCCCAGCGCTACTTCTCCCCGCCCTCTTGCTCTTCCCCCATCCGGCCGCGTCTTTTCCGCCGTCGCCGCCGCCGCCGCCGCCGCCGCCGCCACCTACCGCCCCGGTCGCCCAAGGCGTCCCGCCCCCGCCCCTCCCGATCCCCAGGAAGCCCCCCAGGCTCTCCAACATGCCTCCACCAAACCCCCCGCCGCAGGCGCCAAACCCGACGTCGCTCTCGCCGCCGCCCCCGCCGCCGCCAGCGCCGCCCACCGTTTCCCGACGGCGGCCGCGGCCACGGGCCTGGCCACCGCCGTTGCTGCGCCTTGAGGAGCGGTGTTTTTGCTCCGCGCGATGGTGATTCTTTCCGGACGGCTCCACCGCCTTCGCTTGCGACACGGTCGTGGACTGGAGGTACCGGGGGCTCAGCAGGCCGGCGGCGCTGGTCGAGTGGGCGCTGCACCCGCGGCTGCGCCCGCCGCCGCCGCCGCCGCCGCCGCCGCCAACCCCGCCGAAGCTGCGGCCTAGGCTGTCGAGCCACGGCGCCGCGTCGTCGGCCGGGTGCGGAGACGAGGGAAGCTTGAGGGCCGACGGCCGAGCGCTCGCGCTCTTCGCCGCTGCCGCCACCGCCGCCATCGTCGATGTCAGGGTGTCTCCCTTGGCGTGGGCGTGGGTGCTGCTGGCGTGCCCGCCCTTCGCCGTGTAGATCACTCGAGACGACGTAGGGTACCCTGCAAAGTGGGCGGAGCGGCACACGTACATAGCGATTGGAGCAGTGTCAAGAGACAGATCGATCGGCAAGAGAGGGAGGGTATCATGGATAGTGCAGGGAGGACGTGCGAGCGGCTTTGGTTTGATATGGAGTGGAAAAGGCAATTAGCTGCACATACTTAACCGTGAACTACAATTTAGGAATGCGTTTGGCCCGAGGACCGGCTGCTGCTGCTGCGCCTGCCGCTCGACTTTGATTGGACCAAGTGCGGGATCAACGCAATGCATCAAAAGGGGAAGGAAAAGGGTGCGGGGGCGAGTAAAGGGCTGCTGCTGCTGCTGCTGCTGCTGCTGCTGCTGCTGCTGCATTTCCGCACCATTTCGTACGAGACGAACATGGTAGTATTGTATGGCGGGTCGCTCCGCTCTGCTGGTCCTACTGTAGTCGAATTATAGTGTGTGGGCGTGTAGTTCAGTTGTGAGCACGCAAACGTGCTGCAGGGATTGTACGTAGGTGTACCTCCTCGGGCTTGTGTACCCTTTTCTTGCTGAGTGTGTGTGTGTTCTTTAGGTCTTCTGATGAGTCTAAATAGCATTTTTGTGACCACGGACCGAGTATTTGCTAGATTTTGGGATTTAGCAACTGACATTAGTTTAATGTGAAGAAACCAACAACAACAAAAACAACAACTCGGGGCACGTCGACGTTGCCGCTGCGTGCTCTTGACGATGACATACCAGAGCCCCGCGGTCAGGCATGATACTGAAGGCGTTATACAACACTCGGTCATTGGATGTTGAATGTTCTTCGTGGTCTGAAACGGGTGTGAGAGGCGGATATAAAAGGTTGCGGGGATCCATATATTTTGGGAGGTTGCGCCGACGCTCGGCACGGTGATAATTAGCATATGCCGCGCTGCGAGTGAAATCGGGGATAATACAACAAATGTTTGTCCGCCGCCAAGCAGGGGGCTTTTGCTTTCCGTGCACCTGGCGATTGAGGTTTGTGTCACCTATCATACCCTACCCTAGAGAGGCAGTGGAGAGGGAAGACACGTTGACCGAAGTTGAACCTTGGGCCCTAGAGAGCTGGGTGACCTGCACTTGTTGTACGATCGGATGGGACTCGGCACGCGGTTGTTTGTTTGAAGAGTTACCTAGATACCGAGCAGCGGGGTTGGCTTGTTGGGCTTGGGGGCAACCTTTCTTTGTTCCAAGGATATCTCACTCTTCTTCACCGCACACGGGAACAGAAAGGAAAACCTCGGTTCCCTCGTGGGGGCATGATCGGGCGCCGTCGTACTTGCGAGATTGCTACCGTTACAAGCGGTACACTGCAAAAATTACCCCGGGTCTCGGCTCATGGGTCACGTCAGAGACCCACCACGTAAAATATTCCGTATGCATACATTGTATGTACAAATCATGGTGTTCATATGCATATGCATACACGCGACATCAAAGTTAGTGGGCGGGGGATACGTAGTGCTACATGACACATCTGGTGCTACAACGCGATAGGTTATTTAGTTTTTCAGTGCGACAGGGAAGGGTAACCCCCAACCATTGATGCCGGACCTCCGTTTAGCACACGATAGGTACACAACGGCACTGCTTTTCAGTACCCACCCACACGCATAGGGTACCACGCCACACAAGTGGAAGAGAAGGCGTTTCCACCCACCCGATGTAACGTGCGCATGTATGTGAAAACATGCATGCTGTAAGCGCACACACTCTTTGAGCAAGCAACGAAAACAGAACAGGCCAGCGGCGCGTATATTCCCGTTGGACGGAGGGACATAAATTGACACCCCAAATACATCGTCAATAATAAGGCTGTTGTTGGATGTAGGCCAACGGATGCGAGGACGGAAGGACCGGCGGCAACTCTTCTGTGAGCTCAGCCACCGAGAAGAGAGCCTTATCTGAGGCTGCCGACATTCCTTCCTCGCACCAAAGGAAAAAAAGTGGCGGTATGTCTAGATGTATAGTAGTGCTGCATCGAGAGGGTACGATACTGCTGTCGCATGCTGTCGTTCACACTGTTGAATGCAAGAAGATAGAATGGACGTCAGTCCGCAAATCTTTCAGGTTCAGGTTGCTGCAAAGACCGACCCTGGATCAGCAACTCGCGCGTATTGTGAAGTAACACAGCAGCAGTACTAAAGTGGACTTGCGGCGGCTATAGTCTCTACCGGTATCTGAACCGAAAGTTCCCCGAGACAACGATACGGGGACGACAACACCCCCTTGTCTGCAATGTCAACGTGTCTGTCCATCCTGGTCTAGGAGAGGCGCCTTGGTTGACGCTTGCACCATTGGAACATCCTACATACACTAGGATGTTACGCTCTTGTTTCGGCACACCCCAAATTGAGAACAAAATCACCTCAAACGGCGGCGGTTCACTTTGCGACGGAAAAAATGGACCCTCTCTCACACGTTGGATCGTGCGTTGTACATATCACGGCAACACGCGATGATAGTCACTCCCACGCACTGCAACCGAAATGTCGGCGTCAACCCAAGCCAGCCTCACCTTGACTGGCCGTCAGATCCAGCCTTGTCGGCCTCACCGGTTGGCACACCGTCCCCACAACCACGGACGATTTCTGGGTCCTTCCCTGTAGTCTCACGCGATTCTCCTGCTGCTGCTGCTGCTGCTGCTGCTCCTGCTGCTGCTCCTTTCCATCCCTTATCTCGCCGCCGTCCGCGCCCAATCCTGTCCCTCGAAACCACTCCGATCCCACCCTCGCCAGACCGCTGTTGGCCGGCCACACCCACTGCATGAGAGGCATACCTCGCTGACCCTTACAGGGAGGCTTGGGCATTGCTGCTGTTGCACCGTTGCTGCCTTGATGACCCCCAGCAGCATGGGCATCGGTGGCGATGGCTGCCGGTGGTGCCGGCGGAAAGCCCTTTTCGCTGATGCTGGTGTTGCCGCCTCCGTGCAGGTTGCCTCTTAGCCCGGCCGTTGCTCCGTTCAGCGGGCGCGGGAAAGGGCGGCAGCCGCCGCCTTCTTCCCCGCCACTGGCAGCCTCTTCGCTGGCCTCGTCCATGACGGTAGGGAGCAGAGGTCGTACCCCGCTCGACGGCACCCTCCTGTGCTTTCTCGTGGAAGGAACAAACATTGCTCCTCTCCTCTATCGCCGCGACCGGCCGCAGCAACAACAGAACCCTCTGCGGCTCCCACACTACTTGACGACAACAAGCACCGGACCACGCGGCGCGCGCACACACGCTCTCTCTCTCTCACTCTCTCTCGCTCTGGCACGCACACGCAGCGATCCTTGGTTGGAGTGTCTCCGTACACTCCCTTTTCTTTCGGGTAGTGAAGTATGTTGCGCGCGTAGTGGTCTCCTTCCTCTGTTCCCACAAAGCAGCAGGACGTCTATCTGCCGGCCTGTCGAGGAGTGTGGGAACGATCGACAGCTCTACTGGATGCCGGAGGTTTGTGCCTACCACCTACCATCCCCACACACCCCAGAGCAATACAACAGGTGGCGGGTACAGGTGCGCAGGTGTCTCTTCCAACGGACGAGGATTGCGCACGGAGGTCCGCTGACAAAACCCGAAACCCGATGAACAACCATTGAGAGTTAACAAAGGGAGTTCGAACCCTCCGCGTTCTTTGGTTCGCGCGCGAAAGAAATCACTAACGGCCGAAGTAGCTAGCTCGGCGATATCGATTGGGCGGACCATGCGCAGTGGGGCGGCGAAAGACGGACAGAGCCACAGCTAATAGCCGAGCCGTGCGTGTGTTGTGCCGCGTCCATGCGGGGGGGAAGGGAGAGGGTGTGGATGATGCTCCCTCTCGTTCGTTTAGCTTGGCTGTGTTCAACATACATCTGCACCTGATGCTTGAACGGCAGCCTCGTCAAATACGTAGACTACATGTATGCGGCCTCTTTGCATGTACAATTTGCGTACCGATCACTCAGTGCTTTTTCTGCGCGCTGCAAGGTTTGTGTTAGGTTATGAGAGTAGAAAAACGAAAAACAGCTATCATACGAAGCAGTAATCTATTTGGACATGGGTTTGTAAACCGCTGTCATTCATTGTGTCTGCACTTGGTCGCTCACATCATTGCTGATGGCACACCAGCCGCCTGATGATGGGATGGATGGGTGCGCGTTCACACTGGAATCAAGTCCGGAAGTCAAGGTACTACAGCAAACCTTGAGACACTGGCGTGCATCCCGTGAAATGTACGTACAGGCTGAACCCTCGGCTCCCTTAGTACAATAGGCGAAACAGGATCACCGTCGGTACCGTAGTCTTGTTGTTGGTATAGCCAGTCGACCACCGCTCGAGCCACGAAAAAAGGTGCACGGGCAGGTAGGCTCGCCTGTAGATCTAGACCACTACTGAGTATCTTCGCATCATCAGAAAATATAATGGAAAGGTGGGACAAACAAGCAAACGTACCGACGGGCGACAAACCGATAAAACGAAAAATGTCCAAAAAACAAAAAAATTCTGCCGTCGAGGAAAGAGAAGGACCTAACGGGCGAGGCCGGCTGCCGAATGAAACTGTAGCAGCAACACTTCTTGGAGGGTCGTTATAGGGCTTCTTTTTGCTGTGGTGTGTCTCACGAAAATGGCCCCTCACAGAGAACTACTTAATCCTCGCGACATCAACAACGACGTCAAGCAGCGGGAGGTGTGTAAGCAACCGGAAACAAACGTAAACTACTTACTCTACGGTAGGTTGTCCCAAAAACAGAAGGACTAGACTACATGTGTCGACCCTTACTTTGCAATCAAGCGTGGTATCGTTCATGACCTAGACATACGGAGCATCAGTATGGTGATCCCCCCCATCCATCCGCCCGCCCCCCTCCCAAGCATGGTGGGTGAAGTGGGAAGGCTTGGGGTACTCGTTCCGACTTATTGGGAATGTGAGGGCCTATGATGATATTGTACGAACACAACCAAGCGCCCCTGCTGATAATTTAATACTGCAGGTATCCCTACGACTTACTACCCCGAAGACGACAGCAGGCAACGGGTATACTTCACATAAAGACAACACCCATTCGTCTTCTTAGAAACAGCAAATGCATAATAATTAAACGCTGTCATTGCACCAGGCGCCCGTACCCTCAGCAAGGGAGCGTACGTCGTAGTAAACCACCTCGTGCGTTCATCGAACCACGCTAATAAGCTTCGCTATTGTAGCCTCCGAAGAAGTTGTACCCATCTCGTCCCTCGTATCAGAATCGGCACGACAGCTGGGGCGGCATCCCTAAACTTACAGAAATAACCTCCGGGCTGGTTGCTGACCGTCGTACCACCCTCAAAATTGTACAATACATAAAGGACAACCACGTACTTGCGGCCCCCGGTTGACAAAACGTAACTCCCGCCCGCAGCAGGTTATTTTCAACGCTGCTTCTGTTGCCAGGGTCTGTGGGCCGCCACAGAAGAACGAACTGGTTTCCGAGGCGTACATATACACGACCATGCTCGCTGCCTGGCTTCGTTTGGGCTACAGATAGGTGTCGGGCTACTCCTTGTAACTGCGGTCACGCGATGCTGGACCGCCGCTTGCACTTGCTCTTGGCCGTGCTATTGCCGGCGGCGGGAGGCTGGTCGGTGGTGACGACAGTCCTGGAAGGAGGAGAAGGCGCCTCTGCCGCCCCGGACGAGCTGGACATAAAGCAACATGAGGGGGGCGGGGTATGGGCAAAGGGTGGTCAAACAAGAACAATTGTCAACAGTCTAAAGGCGGCGCTAGGACTCTTGACGCCCCCCGTCCGTCGCCGAAAGCGATCGACTGGTTTAATCAAGCCATGTCGCACCCGTGCCAGGCGATGCACGCACTGTCCCCCAACGCGAGAGTCGGCCAGGGAGTTCGAAGAAGCAGGTTCGAGAAGCATATTTTTCCCCTTCCACAACATCAAGAACACAGCACACTGCTGCACGGGCATGCGGTCCACCACCATTCCCACGGTCGTGCTCATCTGTCTTCAACTCAAAACACATGAAATGGCGTACAGTGCGTAGCCCTAAGCTAAAAAGGCTACAAACAAGGCCGGTATGGACCGCACGGCTGCCTCACTCACCGGTCGGCGTCTGATGGTGACCGAGCCGTGCTCCGCCGCATCCCCGCAGCGGTCGATTTCCTCTGCCCCCCGGTCTTCTTTTCCTCCTCCTTGTCCTTCTTCTTCCCTTTCTGCTTCCTCGTGGATGCCGCCGCCTTCCTTACAGGTCTTGCTCAACCACCAACCGGTTCGATTTACATAACGACATGGTACGGTATGACATGGTATGGTGTGGTCAGGTAGGTAGCGCTCCTGCTGTGTGGTGTGATTGCAGCTAGGTGATGAACAGACCGAATGAGAGGTGGGCATTGCCAAGAGATGTGTTTCGTCCCCCCGCCCCCGCCTCCCGCAATCTCTGAAAACAACCAACAAAAATGAAGGTTGGTACCCGTTTCAGCAACCAAGACTCTCAAGTGAGGAAATACCCTGGGGAATAGTTTGTACAGGCCGTGCTTCCGTTGCCTCCTCTGCTGCGGTTGCTGTCGCCGTCGTCGTTGTTTCAGAAATATTTCTCAACGCGCGTGATCCTCGATGATGGTTTGACCAACCAGCACATTCCGGGCTTCGAACACATGTCCTCGCTAAACTTCTCCCCCCTACACCCCCCTCACCCCGCGCGAACCTTTATTATCCCAAAGCGCAAACACCACCATCAACACCATCACCGGCCCAACTCATTTCGACAGTCGTACCCTGTACATGCTAGACTCCAAAACACTCGCCATGTCAACTCCACTCACCCCTTGCCGGCGCTCTGCTCCACGACGGCTGTCTCGACCTTTCCATCCGCCGCCGCCTTCCTTTCCTTCTTCTTCAACTCGGGAAACCTGAACCTGTCGTGCGCTGCTTCCAGGATCTCCTTTTCATTGAAGGGGGGTTAGGGGGGTAGGGGGGTAAGGGTGAGGAAGGATGGTGGTTGGAGTAGTGAACCAATAGTGTGCTGAGCCCTGACTCTTCACGCGCCGGCTTGTATCTAGCGTGAAGAAGGGGCTCAGGCATGGGGTCAGGTTTCGCCAGCGGGCTGGATCAATATCTAGTTTCTCCCCAGAGCGATATTTGCCGCATACTATACGTTTCCTTCCCGTGTGACCCCGGCCAAAACGTCCATCATGTTCTCCAAGAGGTGTGTAGACTGGCGCCAGTATAGATGGATGGGACGAACACACACACACACACAAAAAAAATCACCGACTCCGTCCAATAAAATAGCTGTAGATACTCAGCCATCGTGCACACACCACCACCAGCATCCAAGTCAGCCCAAAATACGCCGGCACCACCACCGACATTATTACGCCGCACTTTCTCGCCTCCAACAGCAAAGAAGATTCCCCCCACTCCCGTTCTCACCTGTCGCAGCGCCTGGTACGCCTCGGGGCACATCCACCTCTGCCTGGCCCTCTCCACCAGCCCCCTGAGGACCGGCAGTTCGAGCAGCGAACGGAGGATACCCTCGGCGGTCTCGGCCGCGTGCCCCCACGTGGGCTCGCTCCTCAGCCAGGCCTTGAACGCTCCGACGTCGGAAAGAAGGGTGAGAGGCTCGTCAATGTCGGCACAGCCCTTCAACCTGATCATGAGCAACCAAACGTTTTTAAGCGTGCGCGCAAGCACGCAGCAAGCCGTGATATATTGAGAGCTAGAGGGGGCGTTGCTTCTTGTCGAAGCGAGACACAACCCCTATTTACTCATCAACGCGAGCACCGTCGGCCTACAGGGCGAGGTTTCGTGTGGTGGCTGTTGCCGTCTGGTCTCGTGGGCGGGTCTTTTCGGCCGGCGAATTCCAGCGCAAGACGCAATCTTCTATTCCCACATCTCACGACCTGTAAAGCTGCTTGATGGCACACGTGTAGGCCTTTATCCTGGCTGTTTCCCTATGGCGTCTGTCTCTTAGTGTGGTGCACGGATGTCCTACCTCGAACTCAGCTTTAACGACATGCTGTACTAGAAGCTCTTGTGTCGGAGCAGGATGACAAGACTACCATACTTGCCACTTACACTCTGCACAACAAACTACATGTGCAACAGGAATCATAACAAATGAACAATGGCTTGTACGTCAAAAAAAGTAGCTCACTCTTTGAGAGAAGAAGCCCACATCTCGACGTTGCCCCACCCCCCCGCCTCGACGATAGCTTCCTCCACGCCCTCAAACTCCAGCAAGGACAGCACAAACTTCCTTGCACGAACAGCTTTAGTTTCGAGGTGGGCAACAACCAATGGGGCGGGTTGTGGTCAGTGCGCGCGTCCCCATTTTCGTTTCGGTTCGGGAAAGTGGCAAATCCCGCCGCACCTCGCCGGTTCAGCCCCGTTGGTCCATAGGTGGTCACACCCAACCGTGCACCATGGACGCAGCGGAGTCAAAAGCACCTGCTATTTTTTTCCGTCACCGTTATGTGCTGCCCGGTTTCCACACGAGCGAGCATTTGGCTTCATGGTACGTACGCGGACAATCGGACGGGCGGTCCGCGCAAAAAAGTGACGTCGGATGGCAAAGCACATGAGTGAGGAAAAAAAATGGAAACATGTTCCAGTCGAGAACCTGTCCGACAAGAAATATCCATGGATGGGTGTTCGGTGACTGGCAGGAGCCACTGATCGTTCAGGGTGAGCGCTTCGAACCCAACCCTTGAAGGATTAATTTTATTGTCACGGGCGGGGAGGGGAATCTTTCACTCTAACTTAGCACGTTTCTTTAAAGGTGGGAAACACAGTATGTCGCGAATCGTCTACCGCCGCGTCGTCCCTCCCCGACATCGTCTACCGCCTGCCCCCCCTCCCCCTCAGGCAACCAGGAGAGGGTGTCACCACCCGCGGGAGGGGCGGGCGTCTTCTACCTGCTTCCTTACCATCAACAACGTCCGCGGTGGCCGACAGGAGCCGTCCCGCGCTCTCCACCCTTGCGGGGCAACCGCCGTCCCTCTCGGCGAGCCTGGTCTGGTCCGCGGCAGCGAACGCCTCCGCAGCGGAGAGGACCTCGACGGCCATCTCGCAGGAGAACCCTTTCAGCTGGTCGTATGCATATCATATGGGTCATACAGGAGCAACAGCGGCAGAAAGGGCACAATGGCAACTTCACGACGTCGAGTAGACAACGGAAAATTCGCAAATTCGGAGGCAGGCGGGGTCGATTTTTATTTATAAGGGAAAGGATCTTGGCGCGATGGTGAGGATACTTGCTGGCTGTGCTCTTCCTTCGAAGGCGTCCTTAAAGGAGAGGTTGTCAGAACCGGCTATTTACTAATCTGTTCGCTGGAAAAAATGAGGCACAGGAGCCGAACTCGCCCTGAGTGCGTGGCCGGAGCCGTTACTCTGCAGGGATATTTTTTCATGTGACCGTGGGCAGACAGCAGTGGACGATCGCTGTGCCGGCCGGAAACGGAGTTGGGAGCGCCCGATCTTCTTGCCTTTGCCCTGGAGTACCTACCGCCTTGGAGCATGTTCCTTGATATGATGTCTGTCTATGGTTCGAGGGTGTCGTGTTCCCTTCAAGGCCAAGAGATAAGATAAGATGCACGCGATCCTTTGCAGTACAAGAACAACTCTGTACATACCTTGGTTCCACAATAGCAACACAGCACAACCTACAACCACCACTGCTAACAGCAGCAGCAGCAGGGCGGATATGGACGGTGCTGAAAACCATACAGAGTAAGCAATGATAATTTCGTACGTACCCTGAATAACGCCTTTGAGAAGGAAGCACCGAGCGTTGCGTCCGTCTCGGAGACATCCACCACCGTGTGAACCTGTGCACCGGTTTCGCACGAGGAGAGAACCGACGAAGTCATGCCGTATGTATCGCACACACGGCAAGGCATGCCAGGAGGGTATGATAGATACGGTGGAGACAGCCCATCACACACGACCGAGGGGCGCACGAGGAATTTCAGCAGCACGCTATACAAGCAATGCAGGCAAGCACCGGGTCGACAACGTCACTGAAGATAATTTTCAAGCGAAAGGGGCTGGATGGAGTACGGACGGTATTTTATTCTAACTTTTGCCTTGAAAGTAATGGGAAATGGGGCTTTTGCCTGATGAGCAGCGTCTAATCTCCCTCCCCCCCGGTGTTTGCCATCGGGGTTGGGTTTTCGTCGCTTGGCA